TGTTGCAGGGACTGGGAGACATTAACACCAACAATGAACAAAGCAAAGTGTGCTGCTTATAGCACTTAAAGCACTCTCTGGGCAGTTTACAGTTTACACACTGCCCAACTCCCAGTGGAGCTAGGTAGTCAATTTACCAACTTCGGAAGAATAGCAAGCTGAACCAACCTCAAGCTAGCTACCCGAGCCCGTCAAAACTGAACTCAGGTCATGAACAGAGTCTTGGCTGCAGTACTGCAGTTTAACCACTGTGTGCCACAGGGCTCCTTGTTTACTCCTTCCATTGGCACACTCTTTGGGGTTAACTGCAGCTCCCCTTCTCCATCCCGGGTGAATAAATGCGAAGTGTTCTTGTCCCCATATCAAAACAGGGTAGTCTCCATATGTGCTTCCAGCTTGGGGACATAATTGCAAAGAGGAAAGCACAGGAGGAGGTGGTGACACACTCACTGATTTACAGATGAAATCAATCTCCCTACTGAGATTCAGGGAAAGGAGACATACTGTATATTGATGGTTCCAAAATAATCCCAGTTGGTTGGGGTTGAGTGGGGATGGGCACAACTGCAACAGAATTCATGGCCTCTAAGGGGCACTTTCTCTAATCCAAAAGACGATTGGCAAGGCAGACAGGTGTGGTTCCAACACCAGGGCGGCACTCCAAGTAACACATGCAGCAACAATCCAGAATGCTCCAAAGACTTTGCAGCATGTCAGGGCTGCCTTACACATACACTCATGCTCATCCTTTGATGATGGCAGCTCCATCAATGTCTTTGAAGGGGCTGCCAACGATCCAACGCCACAGCTGCAGCATTCATGTTGTCTCGCATGCAATTTTTTTTTAGCAGAGCCAGTCATAACATTTGGCTGCCATTACTATTGTTTCGCATACTAGCTGTATTTACTATCCTGTCTTTCTGCCAACAATCTAAATTGGCATTCATGACTTTCACTTCACAATAGCCCTGTGAAGTAGATCAGGCTAAGTAAAGAAAATGCTTGGCCCAAGGTCAACCATTGAGTTTTATGAGTCAGTGGCGATGGGAACTGAGTTCCCCTCAGTCTTAGTTCGATGTCTTAATCACGACGCCACAAATGCTGGTTTACACACATGCTCATTCAAGACTGTCTGTAACATCCAGGGATACCACACATGCATAAATGTAGTACCTCTGAAGTGAAAACACAGGCAGAATTTTCTTCTTCACCTCAGATCATCTGAATAAATACTGTCTCAAAGGGCCCAAATTCACACAATCACCGGAACGCAAAAAGTTGTCTCTTATACAGTCAAACCACTACACCACTTAACCCAGTTCTGTCGACAATAAAAGTAAATGATGGTCAAACTAGATATTCTCAGAAAAGCTTACTGCCTACAACAATTAATACAGTTTCCTTCTGGCCTCCTACAATGGACATTTTTGCAGATATATTCTTCAGCAATCCAGCTTGCAAAGTACGCCCGTGTTTCCCTTCCCATTATCAACTGAAAAACAAAGTATAACACATGAAATGCAAGATAAAATAGGGAGGTGAAGAAAATCAACATGCCATGACAAACAGATGTTTCACCACTTACAGGATCACCAAAACAGGGATGAAATAGTTTGCCTACTTCCATCTCAAGTAGCAGCAGCTATTTGTTGTTTCAGGTACAGATCTCTCCTATGCTTATCTAAACCATATTCAGTTCTTACTAATTTGAGGACAGTCTTCACATGTAAAGAGGAGTGATCCAGCTCTGCCCACCTCTGTTTCTAGTTTCATCACACTCCTACAGATGGAAAGAAAAGGGTCTGAAGCTTCTTGCTATCCACATGATTGAAGAAGCAGATTTTCCAGGGTGTTGAATTTCTGGAGAGCCTGTGTAGAGATAGTGGAGGCTTTCCTCTTCAAATCTGTCATTTTCTATTAGCAAGAGAGCAACAAAATAGAAATGGGGTTGGGTGGATTTATGCCTTAGACTTTTAAGGCTTAGAGCTCTAGAAGTGATTTCCTGCCTACAATGAATGAGCCTCACCATTATATCTGGAAAGGGGTTGCAAAGCACTTAGGCCTTAAAATAAATGTTTGGAGACCCAGGCATGATCAGATTGAGGGTTCAACTGATGTTCAACAAAAGAGGAGAAACCAGATATAGACTCTGATATTTTTACGGAATACAGTATATAGGTGTAGCCCTACAACAGTGTTTATGTGTAGGGAAAGCAGAGTGAGAAGAAAGTAAAGAGAGCAGGAGATTAGGAAGTGATTCATAAAGATTTCTCTGGTTTAATTTAATTAAATGTTTGGGCTTCTTACTGGCATGAGAAGACACATTGAGTACAGTATTGCTGGAGCAGGCGGGCAAGACAGATCTCCAAAATATCCCAAGGCAAAGGGTGTGAACAAAGTGCACCCACCCACCCTGAAGGATAACAGATCTCAACAGGATTTGTCTGGTTCTGCAAAGGACGAGGAGCTCCATCCAGTCATCCTAGAAAGGGGCTCATGTTCACCCCATAAATTTTGCTGACTGGGGTATCAAATGAACCTGCTAGGATTGGATGGAGTTTTCAGCAAGGTCTGTCAGCTGACAAGAGTCCTGGATTCAAACCTTTTACCAACTAACTACTTCATTCAGAACTACAGTTACCAGTCCTGTTCTCTCGAAGCACTAACCTAATCAAAATGTTCTGTAATCAGCAAGCAATTAAAAGAGCTTGGGACAGTGTTGAGGAAAATAGAGAGAGGCACCCCCTCCTCCTGTACCTCTTTTGCCTAGCGTAGATCAAAATGATACACAAAATGTGTTAAGCTATTACTAAGCGGTAATTAATTGCCATAAATTATGCAAAGCTATTCAGAAACGTACATAGGGTTACCCAATAATTATCACACATACTCCCCTTCGGTGCCTTTTAATCAATTTATCCTCACAATCAAGTGGGCAACCACTTCCAGTGCATTATTTAGGTCAAGTGACTGAATACAAGGCTAGGGGCGAGGGAATTACTTCGGGGTCATTGTTCAGGAATACCACGCAGTGGTCTTGCATGCCACAATGGGTGGTCCTCCAGGTACTGCTAGACGGCCACTCCCCACAATACTTCAGCTCTGGCTGTACTAGCCAGCACTTATGGGAGCTGCCATAAATATCTGATGGGACATACATCCCCACCTCTGCTTTATAATCTTACACTCTTCTCTCATACACACACTTCTACTGTGTACTGACCAACCAATCCACCTTAACTATCCTCACTTGGTTCTGCACTTGTAATCAATACCAAGGCTAAAATCTGGCATAGGCCAATGTACATATGGTGCTTGTAGCAGAGTGAGCACCATAAAATTGCTGAAATGACCGATGAGTTCCTAGACACCCCCCCAAACATTTGAGAAAGGTCAGTTTACCCTGCCCTAACAATCCACTGAAAAGCTAAAAATACTTCCTCAGCAGTACAACTAAGCAGTAAATTCTGTAACTGTATGACAGAATTTTACTTTCCTTGACTTTATGGTAGACGGCTGAAGGCTGTTACAAACTGCACCAATCAGTTCAGACTAATTTTGCTTGCAAGAGGATGGCTGAAAAAGTGAAAATATCTCCGGTCACCACCTTACTTTACCAAGGTTTTGCTTTTCTTAGCTTTCCCACAGTGAGACTTCACGATCTCCCCACTCAAAGGAAAAGAGGTCCCAAATGAAAGAAAAAGTAATCAAATTTACTTCAGTAGCAGTAGTGTCTTTAATACTTTTTAGGGAAGTGGCCTTATTCCCTGGAAATAACCCACCAGAAATAACCAACTTCTCTGTCCCTTGGGTCCCTCTACTGGAAGCAAGGTGGTCCATAAATAAAATAAATTAAAAAAAGATCAACTAGCACATTGTGTGACTTTAGTTATGGGTAGCAATGCCTGCCAGAACTCATTCTCTCTGTCTTTCTCTCACACACACAAAGAGCATTTTTTCCTATCAAGAAATTCAGCCCTTTTTAAAAACACACACAGAGAGAGAGGTGGGGATATGATACTATATTTTACCTCCTGTTAAACAACATCCAGCCACAGTGGTTGATCTCTAGAGTTGCCCCTTCTCGGGGGTGTTTATGGGGCTGGGGCTGCAAGCAGGCGGCCCCCAAAGGGGACCCGTTTTGGGTCTTCGCTGGGACCCCACGTGGCAGAGGCGGCTTGTCGGCACCCTCCGCCGCAGAACACCCTCCGCCGCGGAACAAAAAAACACACACAAGGCCACGGCAATCGTTTGCCAAGGGTGCGAACCCCACGCCACGGGAGCCTGGCTGACTTGTGTCGCCCCCAAGACACACACACCCGATACCCCTTCTTCTTCTAAACACGGCGCCCCCAAGCCCCCCTCCCGATACCCCTTCGTCTTCTAAACACGGCTTCTAAAGCGACCCCACCACCACCACCCTCTCCTTTCTGCTAATCCCCTCTAGAGAGGCCTGGCAAAAGGAGACGTCGGCTTAACCCAGCCTGGCCAGCCAAGGCTACCGACGACCCACCGCCAGATTCGGGCTCCCCACACATCGGCACTACGCTTCCTGTCCACACACACACACACACTTCACAAACAAACAAAAGCTCTCCCCACACGCTGGACTCTCCCCCCCCCCAAGACGTGGGCGTTTTATTTCGGGCGCCTTTTCCGCGAAGCCGTCGAAGCGGACCTCGGTGTGCCCGAGGAGGGGCTGGGCTCTTTCCCCCACCACCACCCCAAGGGGCCTCTCCGAAGGGGGACCAGGGCAGGATCTGGGGGGGATTCGAGGAGGAGGGCTTCGAGGCCCTCCAGGTTCGTCCCGCGAAGCCCCGTTTTCGCCCCCTTTCCTCCCCGCATGCCTCTCCCCGTCCCAGCGCGTGGAGTCTGATGCAACAGGCTGGTCGAGTTGCGAGAGGGAGCAGGCGCCTCGTTTCCCCTCCTTCCCCCCTTCCCCACTTACGCGCACTCCCCTCCCCTCAGACCTCGTCCCTCGCCGTAAGCCCCACACTCACCCTCTCCGTGGGTCTTGGGGAAGGACCGCCGCGCTAGGGAGCTCCTCTGTCCGCCACCACCCCGAGCAGCAGCTTCCCCAGGCGAAGAAGGCGCGGAACTAAGAGACTCCTGCCTTGCCAGCGCGGAGACACATGGACACACCAGGCAGACCCGCGCGCACACACACACACGCACACACACGGACACATACACAAACACATACGCGAGCACCTCTCAGCCAATCACGCCCTAGGGAAGTTTGAGGCTTGAAAGAAAAATTGGGAGGAAAAAAAGCAAATCCAGCTCCTCGTGGGAATGAAAGCAGGTGGGGCGCAGGGCCGGGTTTTACTCCCACCCGCAGTGGCTTCCGACTTTCGCCCACGGCGCCGACTCCTTGTCTAGCGAGGGTTTTATACAAGTTGCTCTGCAAACCGTCATTCGCACCACTGCATAGCACTAGTGTATGGGATCTCCATGCTTGAACCTGGTTGGCACGTGGATGTGGAACATCTCATAGGCATGGTTCACAACTGTTTTCTTATCACTTGCTGACAGCAGTGTTCAGCATGATTTGCAAACGTGCATGGGACATCAGGGCTCAAATAGTGCGCAAGGAATGGCAACATCAGGTTATGTCCTCTCCCAGACAAGCTTCTGTGGATTTAGAAGAGGTAGCCCTGTCGGTTTGTGCCAGCATATCAAGCAACAAAAAGAAAAGGAAAAAAAACAAAGAAAATTAAAATGTGGCACCTTGAAGACTAACTGCTATATTTCACTGTGAGCTTTCATGGACATGTCCACTTCCTCAGACTTGACCACAAAAAGCTCACATTAAAATATAGCAGTTAGTCTTTAAGGTGCTACAACGTTTTTGTCTTCTTTATTTTTTTTTTTTGCCTTATAGTCTTCTGTGGAGACATTTTCTTAAACAGCCAGACATCAAATGTGCCGCCAATGAGTATAGAAAACATCTTGAGACGTTTGCATTTGTTCATCCCTCTAGTGAAATGAGTGAACTGGCTTCCTTCGAAATCCCTTCTATTGGAAGTGATGCCAAAAGGTTTTCTGCGGTGTCAGTGATAGGCACACATGCGTATTAGCCAGTCTACAATGTTGTTATCTAGATGGATCAGAGACAGGCTTTACCTTATAGTCTTCTATGGAGACATTTTCTTAAACAGCCAGACATCAAATGTGCCGCCAATGAGTATAGAAAACATCTTGAGACGTGTACATTTGTTCATCCCTCTAGTGAAATGAGTGAACTGGCTTCCTTCGAAATCCCTTCTACTGGAAGGGATGCCAAAAGGTTTTCTGCGGTGTCAATGATAGGCACACATGGGTATTAGCCAGTCTACAATGTTGTTATCTAGATGGATCAGAGACAGGCCCATAGACATGATCAATTGGAAAATCCTGCCTAGCTGTTGTTGTTGGCTGTCATTGACAATGTTTTTTTTTCCCCATCTTGGCCAGACTTTTGACTCCCATTCAAGACAGTAGCATGTATTTTTCCAAAGCCCTGCACAACTTGGGACTCAAAAGGGCCGCCAAAGTGTGCTCCCCACATTAACCTCCTTGTACCTGAAGAGCACAGGAGAAGCTCTTCTCCAGGCATCTCCTTTGCAACTGTGAGCGACTCAGTCAACTGTGGCATCTGGGCAGCTATGGAATACAGTTTGCTCCCCAGGGAGGTGCAGCCGGTGCAAACCCTGCCCCTGTTTTGGCAGCAGCTAAAAGTCACTTTGTTTGCCAAGGCATTTTCATTGTCTGATTAGTTCTGCTTTGTTGTCTTTGTTTTGTTTTACTTTACTTTAATGAGATGATTTTTAGATACTGTTTTTTTAAAAAAATTGGCTTTATTTGTATTGCTATTCATAGGAATGGGTAATTAAGAAAACACATTAAAAATAAATAAATACATATGAAACAGACAGTACAGTGGGCAGACCAGACTGCGCACCAGTGATTAAAAAAAATGGGGGGAAGGCAAGTTGTCATCCTAAAGGATTGAAATCCCAGAAGACAGAAAAAAACACACACAAAGGCAGAATCCTCTTGGTTGACTGTGAGCAAAATGGCACATTGTGCACATGGTTATTCCTTCCTGGCTTTTAAAAAACATTACCGTATATAAATTTCATTTTTAAAAAACAAACATACTGTATATTTTTTTAAAAAATGTAAAAATCAAGTTTAAAAACAGTTCAAATAACATTTTAAACCTACCTATACATTGAAAAGCCGCATTCCTGATATAACTTACTGCTTAAAAGCCTGCCTCAAGAGGAAGGTCTTCACCAGATGACAGAAAGACAAGAGAGAGGGAGCCAACCTGGCTTCTCGGGGCCGCGCATTCCAAAGCCTGGGAGCAGCCACCGAGAAGGCCCTCTCTCTTGTCTCCTCCCCAAAGGAGCTTGGGAAGGGAATGGAACCAAGAGAAGGGCCTCCCTGGAAGATCTTAAAAGCCAAGACGGGCTCCTATGGGGTGGAAATCGTTCAATAGCCAATAGTTTGTTGATACCAGTGACGACAACTTGTAACAGTTCGTCCTCCGGAACAATTTAGTTTCTCGTGTTTTTGCTATAAGATGGAAAGTCATCATTAAAATTGGCCAGTCCTATGAAAGGGTGATAGCATTTCATCAACCATAATGATCTCTCTCTCTTTTTTTCTTTTTTCAATATAGAAAATGTATGTTTATGTTGGGATTATGGCACTATGTCGTGCTGTTTCAACAACATAAAGGAATACAAGATAATGTACATTTTTTACATGTACAGTATGCTTCACAGTTTGAAAACACTACATTTCTCTTTTGGGACTACCATTCCTAAAACCATCCAGACAAAGTTACATTTTAAATTGTAAGTCCTTGGGATCGCTGGAAGGATTAAAAAGTAACTTTTCCAAGCGGTGGTTTAGGAAACTAAGAGATTTGACTGGTCATGTGTGAGTTTTGAGCAGGGATTTCAGGGGAAACATGGGAGGAAGGGATGCGGGAGAGAGAGATGGTGTGATGTATGTAGGTATTCTGGGAGGGTAGGTTCTAAGTAGTTAAAGAGCAAGCAATTGTTAACTGGAAAATAAATACTTAATAGGCTAACAGTCCTGTTTGTTTGTTTCAATCAAAATATCAGTAGCTATCTTGTTTCAAGCCTTTTGTGTATGGCTGTGCAGAGGAAACATGGCTCTCTTCTGTGTGCTTCAAAGAAGGTTCTGGAAGGCTGCAGAAGCAGATCATCCTCTCAGCCGGCTTCATCTTCCCCCACAGTGACGTTTTCTCTCACACATTCAACAACACCCTACAGCGAAAGTCTGCACTTTCTCATGTGTTCACATCATCAGGAACTCTGCCATATCTTGGGAGCACTTCTGCAAATCTGTGGGTGCCTTCCTTCAAATGAGGTGGGGATAGGAACAGCAGGGCTTCCATAGAGCTCTCTGAAGACTTAGTGCTGGAATTGCTCCAATTTCGAACCTATACATTGGGACCAGAACTTCCGGATCGCTGTGAATGGTGCTAGCCCTCTCCTTAAGGCGGCCTGAAGAAGCCGCTGTCAATTTGCAGATGCTGAAAGCTGGCAGCTGTGTTTTGGAGGAGGAACCTCTGTGCCATGCAGCCCACCCAGTTCCTCATTTGCCAGGCTGCTCAATTCTCAGGCTTGCCTATAAAAAGGGAGGGAGCTACACTTTTCCTTTTTGCAAAGAGCATCAGGCAACAAAATATGCCGGCTGCAAGATGAGAAGGGCAATTGCCTTTCTGAACTGTTCTCAGGGCAGGCAGCCTCCCCGAGGTGACAGAGACAGGGAAGCAGCAGGGGAACCCCCATCCATATGTTCCTCTGTGTTCCCCCTGGGCTTTCCAACCTCCTTCCTGGACTGCACTCCTATGTACCACATAACTCATGCTGCATCTCTCAACTGGCATACAATCCTCAATTGTGGTAGAGCAGAGGAACCTGTCCCATTGCCAAACGTCAGCCACCAATCCCATCGGTGTTTCTATATATGAAAGGAGGGGGGGTTGGGTGTTATTTTTGGCCTCAGGCAGCAAAATGTCTCGAGACATCACTGGCTAGGCCAGCCACAGGAGCAGGACATACTGTAAAGGTTGCCAGCATTTCTGCCTGAAGAAGGAACTTCAGTTGGGCTGGTTTCTTTCTGTGTTGTTTACACTGTATGTGGAGTGTCTATATACACAACCAAAATTTCCATGGCTGTATAAGGGTCTGTTTCTCAGCTCAGCTCCTGCTGCAGCCTCAGAAAAACCCTTCCCTTGAATTTCCATATTCCTCCAGGGGCCAGGCCTTTAAACAGGCTTGTGCCTGACAATGGATATAATTATGCCTCCTTACTAATTAGGTATAATTATAAACTGTTTGTTAAAGCAGCTTGGAATTCCAAAGGGCAAAGGATTATTAACATAACCCATGAAGACATAAATGCCAGGAGCACTCAGGGAATATTGAGTGCCAGCTTTAACTTCTGGATGTTACTGCCTCTGCAAGCCACAAAACATGACATCAAAGGGCTTTAATTAAATGGAGTGGCTACTGACTGTAGCCTTTCAAAAGACCAGCTCTCACCATATTCCTGTGATTACTTAGAAGTCAGAAGAGGGTTAGGCGGGGTTTGGTCTGTAAGTATAATAACCTCAGCGTCAACCTGGTCAGTGTCAGGGAGTCTCTCTAAACCAGAGAGTAAAACAACAACTTTGGTGCACCAAAAATGTTGCAGAATTTTGAATTTCTGGCAAAATTCCTTTTTGCTACAAAATAGAAGTACAGAGACTTACAAAGGAGAATAGCTACAAGTTCCCCAGAAGCCATTGGTTACTCATGAACTAGCACTTAAATTCACTCAGATATTTGTAAGAGAAAGAGTAAAAAAAATAACTTACAATTGTTTGAAATTATAGACTTGGGTATGCTGGTTTCTTTACTGCACACATATTTAGCAACCAACTGAACAGATAAACAGCAAACAAACAACTGCTATCAACAGACTACAGAGAAAGGCACTCAGCACAGAGGCAGGGCTCTTTTTGAAATCAAAATGTTGGAAGGACCAATTAGTTAATGCTGGATAGATGTACAATCACTCCAGCCCAAAGAAGTCCCTTCCAGCCACACAATTACAGATAGTGTGTGCAGTTGCCAATAAAACTCCAACA